ACATGAACTTAAGAGGACAATCTTGACATAGTCTTGCATCTATGGTCAGTTAATCAGTTATCCTTCTTTAGCTCTATTCGGTCTGGTAAAAAACCCATCTCATTATACCCATCTGAACACAATTTGACGCAGAACTTTTGACCTCAAAAGTCCATAATGACATATAAACACATCATCCTCTTTATTGGATGATGTTTTGTATTTAGCTTTATGTAAAATTAGTTAGAACTCTGGTTGATTTGTAGGCCAGGGTGAGAATAGGCCACTACGTCCTGAAAAGAGAGGAGTTGAGGGAATCAGTACCAACTCCAATTTGCTAGGTAAAAGACTGTTGTTTGTTATTGTAATATATGGTTTTAAGTGAAATCTGTGCGATTACAATTTTAAAAAACGATCTAGATGTCCACCTGGATGGCTGGACCTAAATAGTACTTAGGTCACCCACTTAGGTTTTGGGAGCCCCTAGAGGACCATGGGCCATTATGCAGACTGCAGAGCTTTGGTCACTGTCTGATCTTTTCATTGTCGCCTCCACGTCTTAACCTCCCTGAGCTCCTCCACTGACTCCGAGCACCTCCTCCACTGACTCCGAGCACCTCCTCCACTTCTCCAACCTTCAGTAAAACCTCCTCTACCTCCAGTTTAAAAATAAAAAAAGTCCGATAAGGCCCCGACTAGGTGTCTGGTCTAATGCCTACCAGTGTCCGGTGCTTTCTATAATGTTGTTGAACCTTGAACTTTGCTGTTCAAAATGTCCTGATAAACTGGAAAATACCTATCAGATTATCCGTGTCTTTTCCACATTCATAGAGTATGTGGAGATCTACTCACAAGTAAAAAATGAGGCATCCTAGACGGAAAATTCCGTCTAGGAAAATCAGATTTTCGTCTAGGATAAGTATCCTAGACGGAATTCCGTCTAGGATACGCGTCTAGGAAGTTTCCGTCTAGGATGCATTATTCTAGACGGAAATTTCGTCTAGAATACATCATTGACGGATTATTCTAGACGGAATTCAAAACCGTCTAGGATAATCCTAGACGGAAACATCCTAGACGAAAATTTCGTCTAGGATGAGTATCCTAGACGGTAATTTCCGTCTAGGATGTTTTGGCTATCCTAGACGAAATTTTCGTCTAAGAAACTCGTTCTAGACGGAAATTTTTTCTGTCTAGGATGGATATCCTAGACGGAAATTCTGTCTAGGATAGCCAAACCATCCTAGACGGAAATTCCGTCTAGGATACTCATCCTAGACGGAATTTTCGTCTAAGATGTTTTTTATTTATTAAAAAAAAGTATTCTAGACGGATTTTTAGCATCCTAGACGGAATTTCCGTCTAGGATGCTTGCTACTGTAGTTTTTTTTTTGTTAGGAATCTACTTTGTGCATTGAAGAACAAATGGATGATTCATCTACAACAATGATACATATAAGATGAGAGAACATATAGTTACATTTCATTTACGACATATAGTTACATTTCATTTACGACATATAGTTACATTTCAGTTACATATCATTTAAGCCAGTCTGATGAGAGAACATATAATTACATTTCATTTACGACATATTTATACATTCTTCTATTTGTCGAAGAGGGATTTGAACCACCAAATTCCCCTGGTGTCCTTGGGGCCTTCATCTCCTTCAGGTGGAGGCTCAAGCTGCGGTTTTTTCCCAAGATTACTCACATCATAGCCTTCTTCCTTAGCCTTCTCTACCAACTGATTGTATATGTCCTCATCCATCTTAGTTTGCCTACACAAAATCTTCAAACATGGAAAATGAAACAAAATATCAAACACCCATCTACCTGTAAATCATAATGAACAAAGTATTGATATCTTACAGAAAAAAATTAACTCAATCCCAGCTTAAGACTCCGTTAAACAGATTCACTAGTTTCAAAGGTTTGCTTTAGAGTTTTGGTCTCAGTTCGAGCATATAAAAATATATAGGTAACATTGTAAGTGTCCATACTAATATACTGCCTTTGATTATTTGTAGGTAACACTAGTTGTACTTAATGCTGATAATACCAAACTATATACCAAACAATGATAGTTAGCAATGCAAAATAATTAATTTAAACTGATCTTAAACTAAAAAAACTTAATTTTTACATTGATGAGTGCACCAAAGTGATGATTTTGTTGACACAATATAATGTAATGTAGGAGATTATAAATTTTTTTCAACAGCTAAGAGGAAATTGAATCAATATATATAGGATGCAGTGAAAAGGCAAGGGATAAGATGAGTGTCTCATATCAGACATGCTTTCTTAGAATTAAATCAGGATACCTGAAAGTTCTATGTCAGCTTTACTTAAGCCTACAATGTTGCTACTAAAAACACTACCCAATTGGTCATTTGAGTAGGCGAAGGGTAATCGAGGATCTGTATGAGAAATAACATGAAATTAAAATTCCAAATGAAGAAAGAGAAAAAAACAAAAATTCTATAGAACATCAGTTGAACATACTGACCTTTAATTCCCGTGACTTCCAGCAGTAAAACAACATGAAGCTTGTCAAATAGACTAGGGTACAGAACTTCATTTAACCGTGAACAGAACACACTAGAAGGTCAGATTTTAACTTAAGTATCAGAACTTCCAAAGAGAGGTGTACCAAAGCATAACCTTGAATGATGAATCGGATGAAAGCGAGACCGGAGCAGAACCAAATAAGACTGATACGGTTGCAGCAACTTCATTTGCTGATAATGATTTGTCCTAGTCAGAACAAGGAGCTCTATGATTTAGTTAATCTGGCATCCCAATTCCAAAAGTTGTAATAAAAAAACACTCATGCAATTTTCTGACATAGAAGATGACTATGATGAATATCCATGATGGCTGATGAGTAACCGATGTAAACAGAAAACGTATCAAGTAGTTTAGCATAAAATCATCTAGATGCATCTACAAACATCAATGTTATGCAAGCTTTTCCCTATTGAATTCGAACAAGGCGCACATGAAAGAACAGCGAAACAAGTATCAAGTAGTTTAGCATAAAATCATCTAGATGTCTCTACGAACATCAATGTTATGCAAGCTTTTCCCTATTGAATTCGAACAAGGTGCACATGAAAGAACAGCGTATGTGCATCAGGAGAGCATATCTACAACCAACTTCCAGCAGAAGACTTTGATCTGATATTTCATTCGTAGCTTTGAGACAAATCCCAACTTTGAGACAGCCTACATCCCACCCACCAAGACCCGAGCCATAACAATATTATGGGCATGGAAAAGGCACATTTTAAATCACGTTTCGTGTATATTTTATACCGGAACATAGCTAAGTCTTTGGATTTCAACATAAAAGACTTTTTACTATCAAATTCTACGGCAATCTCATCAATCTACTCAGTTTGCACCAAACACAAAGTTGAAAGCCATCATGATCTAAAGGGCCACTATCCTGATTTTATGGCAAGAATCAAACTTGATGATCATATACTTAGAATATCGAGAAACAGAAGCTTATGACTTACCTCCTCATCGATCGCCATGGAATTGCTACGAATAAACCTCTAGTTCATGCCATCAAAGAAAACGATTGATCCAATGTTTTCCGCCTGCGTTCAACGAGAGGTCAAGAACAAAGAACATCAGATCCAGCGAAGCCTTTAGTTTATTAACGAGATGGGGGGAGGGGCGAACCCTAGTTCGCATAGCGAGACACGAGAGCAAGAGCAGGAGGTTGAGCTTCACGGCCGTCGCCATGGCTGAGGATCGGAGAACGGAGTGAATTTGTTAGCGTTTTGCTGACTAAATTCTGAGATCGAGATGGATCTAAAATTGGGAAATGTTTTGAGATTGAAAGATGAATTTATAAATAAAAATACGAAGGCATCTAATCTTGATCAAGGATCGTAAATATGATTTGGAATGGGCCGAGTTGTACCCCTGTTATGGACTTCAATATAGAAAGGTCGTGACGGGGGAGTGGAAGGCGGAGGTGGGGAGCTGGTCGTGGGACCCGAGGAGGTGGGGGGGACGCCGCGACAGTTGGCAGCGGGGATTTTGTTGGTGGTGATGTCGAAGCCGCGGTAGACTTGGATCTTATCGGAGTTGATGATCTCAAATGATCGGAGATGGGTGGCGATGTCAATGGAGAGCTTGAAGATGAGGATTGAGGGAATCCCTGAAATTGAGGATAGGGGATGGGGTTGGGGGTTCCTGAAATTTTTTATTTTGGGAGAGAGAAATTTTTTATTTTGGGGGGAAAGGAGGGCGGGAAGAGTTTTAATGGGCTAATTTTTTTTTTAAATGGTCTAAGTATCCTAGACGGAAATTTTCGTCTAGGATGTATCCTAGACGGAAATTTCCATCTAGGATACTTGGTAAATTTAAAAAAAAATTAAAAAAAATAAACCGTCTACTTTGCTATCCTAGACGGATTATTCTAGACGGAATTTTTTCTATAAAACTAGACGGAAAAAATTCCTTCTAGAATAATCCGTCTACGATACGTTATTTTCTACTAGTGACTACACTATATTTCCATATGATTGTCATTATGGTCTTCTGACTGTATGAAATTTTCGAAATGGTCGAATTCATGATATTAATTGAAGATTAACTAAAACTGCAACCAATACAGAAATTTCAACCTTGCTTGGGGAGCAATTTTTCTCATTTACTCGTTAACACTTGGATAGGTGCTATGTACTATTTTTTTCATATCTAGGAATTGACATTTTTATCTTATTTACTCAATTAAAATGCTCAGGTAAACTGTAAATCTACAAATGTTTCAGCTAAGCCTTCCGTTTTGGTTTGTCCTTTTAACCTGTTGTACTTTGATATAATGTCTATACCAGATGCTAGAAGATATTTTCTGGTTTCTGTTATTCCAAAAATTCAAAATGAAAAATAAAAAAAGATTAGTTTTAAGTGGAAAATTTCTCCTTAGACAGTATCCTATAGTCTATTCTTCATTAATTTTTTCTCATAGAATTAGTTGTCTTTTTCTCCCTCAGAAAGAAGATCTTAAAGCTGTTGTTAACTACTTGCGAGCAGAAGGAAATGTATCTTGCATTGGATTATGGGGGCGTTCCATGGGTGCTGTCACCAGGTTCTGTTCGTGGATTTTTTGCACTTATTTGCTTCAGTTAGGATCTTGGATTCTGTCTTTAGCTATTCCTGAAACTGGTGTTACTTTTTCTATTTTTGGAATATTGAAGCAACAATTTGTTTTATGTTTCCCTTGTTTATTATGGAGACAGATATTCTTTGTTTCATCTCCTCATACATGAAGTTAGATCTGTATATTTTCTGCCTATATGAATATATTGTACCTCATGATTTAGTGATTGTCTAATGCTTATCATACTTTGAAGTACGTCTGAGCATTTCACTTCTTTCTTGCAGCTTGATGTACGGTGCTGAAGATCCATCAATTGCTGGAATGGTTCTTGATAGCCCATTCTCCAATTTGGTCGATTTGATGATGGAGCTTGTGGATACTTACAGATACCCCTTACCAAAATTTACTGTAAGCAAAATTGAGAGATATCTCTAAAACTCAGTTTAAAGGTTTAAATGAGGATCATATATATTCTTTCTTTCCCCTATGTTGTGTTAGGTTCAAATGTTTTTCTTAAGGTTTTTTTTAGATATTAGTCCCTTAAATCATCAATAATTACATTTTAGTCCCTTAAATCTTGGAAATTACGTATATTACCTCAAATCCTATAGGGTCTTGCAAAATGGTCCCTCTGTTAGTATTTCACTTAAAAAACCTAACCATGATTGGGTTATCTACTAACCCCGTATTAGCAATTATCAAACTACCCCTCTCTGATGTTTCAAACCTTTGTGAAGCTTAACTTTGGGTTAAGAGTTCTTTTCTAACCGTTGGAAAGAACAACTAAAGTGGGTTTGGGTTTTTTTTAAAGCAGACATTGGGTTTAAACCTCTTAAGAAATGGGTTGGGGAGCATAATAGAGGGGTAATGGTCACTTAGGCTCCAACCGTTAGATTTGAGTCATTTGACGGAACATTCTCCTCAAATCTCACACGATTTAACTTGAAGGACAATTTTGCAAGATCCTATAGGATTTGAGGGACTACTATGCAATCTTCAAGATTTGAGGGACTAATATGCTATTACTAAAGATTTAAAGGAATAATATCTAAAAAACCCTTTTCTTAAATAGTTATTTTAACCGTACAGCTTTTTCATTTTTGTTCTAATAAAAGGAATAGTCTTTTCTGTAGCACCTATATGACAGTTGTCAAGTTGCTCTGATTTTCTCCTTTGTACTATGCTTGGTTACTGTAAGGAAGCTTTTATGTAATCTCTATCTTTTTTCCCTTTTCTATGAACTCGGCAACAATTTGGATAGTTATTAGACACCATTAACTACACCATTTTCCTTGTATATCTGTTATAGCTGATTTGTGTCTCCTGGTGATATGATCGAAATTGTTGATGTGTCAACTGAATGGGACTTTACTGCTTTATGTAGGTGAAGCTTGCAATTCAGCACATGCGAAAGGTTATTAAGAAGAAGGCAAACTTCGACATTATGGATTTGGATACAATTCAGGTTCATTTTATTTTGAAAGATCTCGTTTATCTTGAGGATTTAATTATATTTTTTGTTGCATTTCCTTCTTTTGTTAGAAAGACGATTGAGTTAACAGAATCAAATGTGCTTTTCATTATCATTAAAGTTTTGCAGTTGATATGTATTACTGAGTTATTTAAATTAGAAGCACATATTCTCCTTGAAAGACTTTTAATTGCTAATTTTATGTACTCAACTTCCTCTTCGCCTTCTCATTTTGAAGTTTGCTTATTGCTTTATGTTTCCATGAAGCTATCTATTTCCATGGAGTTGTGATTGTGGTCTCACCTTACAGTAGCTTAACTATAGGAACCCTAAAACCTAGCGAGCTTCATTTATGTGCTGTTAAAATCTAGACCTTCTGCTGATTTAGTATAATAATTGTTACTATTATGAGTTGCTAATGATCTGTGTTCAGGAATATGTGTATAGGCCTCTTATCTTATGTAAAATTGCAAATAACATGTAATAGTATTATTATATTGTAACTGTTATAATATTTTTCCTTTGGGAAAATTGCTTCCCACCCCCCCACCCCCGACGACGGGTTTTTTTTTTTGGGGGGGGGGATGCTTTCACTCTCTAGGTCAATAAGTCAAAACTGAAACCCCCCGTAGAATTTTTATTTCATGCTTACAACTTCCTAGTCAAAAAGTCAACCCAAAATACTCATTTTTCTTCCTGTATTGCCCTCACATTTACCTGCGCTGCATCATCTTCTTCTCTTTAAGCATATGAATATTTTTAAAATAATCTACCAATCATCAAAATAATACATATTGCTAATTTTCTTCTCCAAGCACATGATTTTTTTGGAAGATAATCTACCAATCATCAAGACAATACATTTTGCAACATCTCTAGCAATTAAATTTTTAGCAGGTGGAGTAGATCTAAATACATAACTACTTGATCCACACTACCCAACCTTAATAGTTGAAAACTCAGATAAAAACAATTTGTCCATTGTTGGAGGGGTTGCTGCTATACTCTATTTCATTTCAAATCCTAAAGAGGAGCACTAGAAATCCTAGATCGTCATCATCTCTTGATCATAAGATCAAATCGCCGCCATTGAAGGTGAGGACCCGATGAAACCGATAGCCTGTTCTCTCCCCCTGGCCCTCGTCGTGTTCTCCATCTTCTTTGTCGTCGTGTTTGCTTCTGAATTTGATCGCGAGGTCCTCTAATCTAGAACCTTGTTGCTTCAGATTTGTACGCGAAGGATATTTTAAGGACAATAGTGGAGAAAGATGGGCAACCAAATAAGAAGAATCCAATGAGTTTTAAGCATAGTTACATAGTACGTGGTACATAGCGGGTCATGGTACGAAATTGGGTATGCAATTTGGCACTTAGAAAACTTGGATTCGTTAAGGGTAGCTTGCTTCGATACGCAAGTTTGTTAGTGTAACGTTGGTGTGCTTAAAGTTTTCCAATGTATATGGTAGAAAACTAGAAAACTAATTATGAATTTTAATATTTTTTCCATACAAAATACTTCTTTTTGATGGAGTTTGTTTCTTTGTTCCGGTTTTTTCTTTCACAAAACTCATTTTAGGATCATGATTTCATTTTACATTTAATAACATGTGTGTTTAGTTACAGTAAAGTCATGGGCTCATACACTCTATTGTGCGTCTCCCTTCACTTAATTGCACACATTGCATTACATATAGCGCACGTGCACTTAAAGAGACTTTGCATCTAACATACTTGTAAGTGGTATGCTTATTTTGGGAAACTGATTCATATATTAGAGGGAATCAGTTCGCAAATGTACCGGGAATTAGTTCGCAAGAACTATTTGATGGTTCGAGAGGGGTCCGAGAAATTGTGCAACGATGGTTTTAAACCTTTGATTTCTTGTTCTAGGTGGAAAGCTTTGTTCTTTTTTCTCAGGGGGTTGAAGTAATTTTCCCTTTTCCTTTCAATTTATTCATTGGTGGTACAAATGCTATCTGAAAATCATCCTAGAGTGGTAGTGAACATGGTGGCCTAGCAACTATTTGGAAATTCAAACTTTTTCCTTGTTTACCTAAGTATAATATAATTGTTCTTAAACAAATAGAGTTAAACAATTTATTTAAATTTTCACCAACACAATCTCAGTTTAAACTTGCAGCACAGATATAAATAACAAATGCGCAAATAAAGAGATGCAAGTTTAGAGATCACCGCAGAAAAGCTCAACCACACAGAGATTTAAAGTGGTTTGGTAACTGCCTACATCCACATTTCCTGATAGCTTCCTGGCTATTCGAGGATTCCACTCAAGATTGTTCGAACTTGGAAACTGAGTTACACCTTGATCTTATAGGAGGCAAGTGTATCCTTACACCTACATTGGAGTCAAGTGGCTTCGTTATTCAATACTGTACCAACCTAGAGACTGCATGACGCTTTGATCTTAAGGGAGTCAAGCCACTTTGTTTGACGAACTCTCTATACCCCAGAGAGTCAACTTCTGAACTCTTTAACACTTTAGAGATTAAAAAAATCTCCTAGCACCTATGAGATCAAATCACAAGAACAAATATCTCTTTTCATAATATAGATATCATTAGCACAAATACAGATATTTCTACACTTTTGCAAAACAAAAGTTAAGTCACCTAGAAGCACGACTCTCTAATTAAGATCCAGTCCAATTATGATGTGTGTGTGTATAAATTAAATCAAATAAATAAGGATTGGTTTAAGAAACTTAGCCAATTAGATGTGAAAGAGATGAGATTTGATCCAATAAATTGCTCCTTTTTCACTTGAAAACCCTCTAAAGAACTGACGCTGTAGATTGAGATGACTAAAGATCGTTGTGAACAATCTTATATTTTTTTCCTCTCAAAAAAAATTGAAATATAGTTTCAAGAAGTTGAGAGTGTTTTAGAATTTTCTCTATATGTCACCTTTTTTCATTTGTTTTTTTTTTCTCGATGAGAATGAAGCTCTATTTATAGGCTTTTTGTGAGAGACAATATTGTGATGTACCAAATATAATCTCTGCAAGTCAAACCCAATGAAATTTCAAAATAGATCTGAAATCAACTTAGAATGGCAATAGATATCCAAATCCTAACGTTTTAATAACCAAAAGGCAAGAGATCAAAGCTAATTCAAGCTGAAAATTTGCCCATTAGCAGTTGACAGGCTGGTGGCTAGTTGGCCGACACCTTGTCCAGAGAAGTGGTTGGCTGTCCAGCTACCGATCTCTATAATTTTTACTTATTTTTTCACGTAGATTATTATGGTTTTATTCCTGGTTCACTAAAATGGTCATAGCTTGAGCTTAGTAGCTAGGAATTGACTCAAACTTGATTCTATAGGCTTGTAACTAAATGGGGAACAACCTTAAGTGTTGAAATTTACTGAAGTTAAGAATAAGATTTTACAAGAAATACCTAAACACCTTAACACTTAGGGCTGTGCAAATTGCGGTTTGAATTGAACAAACTGACCGAACTGCCTGATGTTTGGCAGTTCAGTGCGGTTTTGTACTAACCGGATGTTTGGCAGTTCGGTTTGGATCGGGTTAAGATTTTCTAAGTTGGTTTAATCCGAACCAACCGATACTTGCTTAAAAAACACCCGTTTCAAGCACACCCAATAACAATAGCCAATAGATGAAATAAACCTCCCACTCTCTGCCAGGCCCACTCTATTCATCCCATGTGGCTGACCTCTTTTACCCACTCATTGCTAGTTGTCTTGCATGAAGAGTGGAATAGAGAGAGAAAGGAGCAACTCAATTTGTATTCTTCTCTTCATTACCCATGAGTCACAAGGCATTATCAAATCAAATTAAAATCTCGATCACATGCCTCTCTTCTTCATCTTCTCTCTTCTTTTTCTTGAGTAATTCTTTTTCTTCGTCCTCCTCCTACCCTTCTTAAATTTTCAGCTGATGGCCAGAGCTTCCACTTGCGTTCGTGGTTTCCGTTTCTACCCGCCTGTTAGTGCTTGAGCTTTGAGTCTGTACTAACAACCTAAAGAATCAACCGAACTGAACCAAAATAAAATGGTTCGGTTCATTTTAGTTTAATAACAAGGCCTATAACCGACCTAACTGACCATTTTCTCTCCCCTATCAACACCGTTGCATATCTTTATCGTTATTCGGTTGATGTGCGTATGTCTTTCTCTTTGAAGCCAAGTCCATTGGTCTTCACATGATTTGATGTTTATGACCAGTCTTCTAATCTTGAAATTTGTGCTATTTATCGTTGTATTTGTACATTTTACCTCAAAGCACAAAAGCTATGACTTCCTAACTTCATCACTTCATATTCCTGAAATCATTCAGAAATACTATGCATGTAAAATATAGTTTGTTATAATCAAAACATAATTAAATTAGGAATCATAAGTTAACAATATCTATGTTGTCGGATTCATTGTTGTATGAAAACATAATTTGAGAATCAATTTTGGAGTTTAATGACCAGTTATTATTCTTGATTTCTCTGCGCTTCTAATAATTTTGTATAATTTTCATGTAGGTGGCAAAGTGTTGTTTTGTTCCAGTTTTGTTGGGACATGCAACTGATGATGACTTTATATGTCCACGGCATTCAGACCGCATATATGAATCTTATGTTGTAAGTTGACATTTTCCTTTACATCTTAGTTGTTTCTCTTAGACTCTTTTCTCTTGCTACAATAAACAATCTCTTGCTTGAATATGTGCTTTTATGTCTGATTATTAAATTGCATTAAAAAAAATATGCACATAGTAAGATTCTTTGCTTGTTTGCTCCTTTTCTGTGCTGAACATGACTGCATAGGTATACTCTGGCAACTTAAAAATAATATAAAATTGTTTGTTTCGGGCCTTTCGGGCAAAATCAGTTTGTCCATGTCTACAACAACATTTTGTTGAGGCAACTTGATTGCATGAATCTCTCAGCTTGAATGATGCATGATTCTATGTTGACCTTCACCATTATTTATTGTCCTGAGATTATTAAGAGTATAGCATCATGTTCCCAACGTCACCCTACCTTAGAGTTTAGGTGTAATATAAGGAGCTTTTAGCTGATACGATGTCAAGACCTAGATTCAAATCTTACTGGACGCATAGTTAAAGTGGATTTTAAAAGAGGTAAGACGTGTAAGGTAACCCAAGTTTTGGCTCGATGAAAAGGGCCTTCATCCTATGGTTCATGCTAAGGGTATAAAATTATAATTAGCATTCCCTATCATAATTTTGGAGTTTTGGTAATGTAGAAGAGACTTGCAAGAAGATTTATTGATGACAAAAGCAGAACCACTGTAGTCTCTGGCTTTATTTGATAGTATGGTCTTCTTATATACTTTGGATATTTTACATGAAATACATCTCGCAGAGTTGTACAGTCTGCTGAGTTTAATTGTCTTATTTTTCTATTTGAATGGACATAGTGACATAATAGACACACACATACACTAAGTTAACCCCATGGGACCAATTTATTTCCCATTTTATTTTACCCAATACCTATTGATTGCTTTGTATGACATCCTCACATTATGGATTAGATTTTTCAGCATCATACATGAACTTCTTGATCCTAATGCACAGTAGAAATATGAACTTGCAGGGAGATAAAAACATTATTAAGTTTGATGGAGATCATAATTCCCCTCGTCCACAGTTCTACTTCGATTCAATTACAATTTTCTTCCATAATGTGTTGAGCCCGCCATCAGATGAACAATACTTCCACACAATGCATGACTTTCATGACAAGGTAAAGAAAATTTAGAGGTACTTTTATAGAGATTACGTGTTTCATTTGACATTCTGTTTATCTCACCTAAAAGATTTTCCTTCTTTTATCATCAGTACAAGGTGCTCTAATTCCTTTTTTGGTTCTCATGTAAAGGATATCCGGAATGGTGTACCTGCAATGGGGTATGGACATCATGGTTCTAATGGATCACATCCAGGCAAGAATCAAGAACCTTGTACTTCTCCTTTGATCCATCAATTAGCTTAGTATTTTTATCTTGTGTTTTGGTTTCCACTATGTTTGCATGTTATCTTTGACTTGGAATCAATTAGCTTAGTATTTTTATCTTGTGTTTTGGTTTCCACTATGTTTGCATGTTATCTTTGACTTGGATAACAGAACTTGCATCAGGAAGCACAGAAGACGCTATCAGTCAACTACGCTCTAGAAGACCTATGAGTCGGACTGAGGTAGGTCAAACTTAATCATTGTCAAATTAATTATATTAACGCAGAGATCATGTTCGATTTTCTTGTGGTATTTATGTTCTAGAATATATACTTAATCCATTTTACCACAGTTTCAATCGACTTTTCAGGATGCTGAGGAGTTCTTATGCTTTCTACCAAGTGATAGTTAGATCATAGATAAATTTTATGCCTATTTATTTGGTAGCTATACTATGTTGACTCTGGAGAAAGAGAACTGTGCATTAAATTTTAACCTTCAAATTTGACTGGCTTTTGTTTACTTTATGCTGTCCTGTTAACATATGAAATTGGATCTGGTTCAAGGAAATAAAATATGAACCATTGTTTGAGCTGTAATTTCTAGTCAATACATAACAAATAGAAATTATGTGAATATCATATGTTTGTACTATTTGAATTGAAGTTTCTACATATTTGTGGATGACAGAATACTGAACTTTGGGTTCTAAGAAAGGATAGGACTTCGATATGCTACATTGTCAGGCTTAAGAGGTAGAGCTGAAGCGAATATCTTATTAGGTTCAAACTTCAAAGTTAGTGGGCTACCAAATATGAACCAAGCTTGATCCATTTAAGAAAACATAAAGCTCAGAATACTTTGTTTGCCTTTAAGATGTTTCAGCAGTACAATAAAAAAAATCTGTGCTCATCTGAATAGCAGCATCTAGATCAGTTACCATTATGCTCCTTCTGCATGTACATAGGGCATGCTAAATTGCATATTTAAATCTCTATTCATTTTTAGCCCGCTTATCTCTTGATTGAACTTTATTATCTGATGAAAGCTTTTGGCGACCTCTCTTATTCCAAAAATTACAGCTCGATACTTTAGCCTCTAGCAACGTTCACAGTATACAAGTGCAGTATTCATAAAGGTAAATTAATATATGCATTTCTCGATTGACTTGCAGGTCCCATCTGATATTTCCTCCCAAGAGAAACAAGATGAGCCTGAGGTACCTTGTATATTTTCATTTCATGTCAGATTAATTTCTCCGCATGTTTGAATGTCTGTTTCAAGTGTTTAAGATCAGCCATCATTCTGTATGTTTCAGTTTACATACAACAAATTGAAAATATTATCTCTTTGCATGTCTTATCTTTGAACCCCTCGTTGAGGACATTTCTTTAAATGTAATGCCAAACAAACTTTTAAGTTTAAATTTTTTAAGTAGCCCCACATATAAATTATCTAATATATGAAGGCACATCATAATTGTTTACAGCATTTGAAAAGATTGTATAGTATGTTTCTTATAATAATGTCCAGTCTTCTGCGTTAAGAGTAGTTTAGTGTGCAATGCAGTGAGGTTGTGGAAAATTGATCGCTAAAATATGTATGATGTTTATGGACAATCATGTTTAGTATGACTGCTGTTATATCCTACATTCCTATCTTCAGTTATGTTTAAATATTCTTGAACAGCGAAACTTTCTGTGAATTGGATGAGAAAATAGCTTAAATTTTACACCTTTTATTTTCTGTTGGACATTCTTCTGGTAACTATCTAATGTTAAGCATTCCCTTTTTCGTGGACTACCCTGCAGCCAAGGAGAATTGAGAGAAAAGCAAACCCAAAGCCTCAAAATACCATAATGTGTTTTTCTTAGGGGAAAAAATATATGCACATGAGAAGATGTTGAAATGCGGCTTCATTAAATATCCGAACCTGATATCCTTTTGTTAATTGCATATTTGGCTCCATGCTCAGTAAATTAACATAACGCACGGGATTAAAGTTTACTTAGCTAGTAATTGTTTTGGGAAATGAAAGAGGTAAAGGAGGGGGTTAGTGCAAAAGTTTGATGGTAATGTTGCATGAAGCATTGCTGCTGTAGGTGGTTTTTTAGAACCAGATGTGATGCAGCCTTCAACAGATCACATATCTAATCCAGTGTGCTTTGGTATTTTATTGAATGATTAAAAGCTTCAAATAAGTATTATCCTCTTCGCTTATCGCTGCAGGGAAATGGAGCAGATGGTCCATCTTCCTCTTCTAGGCTGTTCAGTGATGCCCTCCCTAGCAATGGTCATTCGCTCAGCCCCGTTGACGATGAATATGTGGAGTATTCTTTTGATAACTTTTCAGATATACCTTCCAGCATGGAAGATGAAGAAAGGGTAGGTCTGTTAGACAGTAGTTGATCATTGCATTTCTCTTAATATGAAACGTCATCTATTTTCCAAGTTATATTAAGTATATGCTGCTTACCCTTGTCTCCTTATAGGAGACTATGTTGCTCTCTCTCTCTGTTACTCTTTTCTTTCTTTTACGAGAAGGAACCCACAGGTTGCATGGTTTTAAAAAAAAATATTAAATCATTACTTCATCTAGTATAGTAATATAAAAACTGAGGATCTGTTATTGCATAAACTTACAGGAAAAAGCTAAAATTACTATCTACTTTTTTATTGGTACTACGAAGTTAATTCAAAACGATAAAGTTTGTTGCCAATACTGTTAAATGTTGTGACCATATTGTTTGTGTGCTGTCCATGTTGATGCACTATGTTAATGTTCACACAAGATTTTCTTAAGGGTACATTTATATAGTTATAGCTTCAGTTACCTGCTCCTACTAAAGAAGGCATGATGAGCAGTACAGGACAGGAAACAGTCTACTAAGTCTGGCCATAACTTTTTTGCGAGCTCAAGAAATTTATAAGCTAACAAATAATATACATTAAAGACTACGTTATATTCTCTTAATGCATTTAATCTTTCTGAGCTGTGCATGTAAGTACACACTATGAAATTACTTGTCATCCACAGAAAAAGATGGGCATTTATAGCTGACCAACATTCCAGCATCTCCATCTGGATAGAAAAATGGGCTTGGTTGATGGCGATGGTAATGATGTTTATTTCACTTTTGGATGCAGATGATCATGGAAGCAATAATGGAGTCCTTGAAAGACATGGAACCGAGGCATCCCCAAGGAGATGCGCACTCTAATATAGACACAACTCCAAATCTTCCAACATCAAATGGTACACAAGGATCCGTATCCGAAGCCAATGAGCCAGCACCAGAGCCTGAAAATAACATGATTTCAACAAGCTCCAAATTGGAATCATCAGCAACCCCAGCACCCATCACAATTAGACCCTGTGCTACTAATGAATCATCAACCAACCAGGAAGTTGATACAAGTGACGGCACAAGAGCCACATTGGTCGTGCAAAAGAATCCATCGAGCCACGTCATCGAAGGGTTGGCACACCGTTGGAGTCTTAATTTCTTCAAGAGCAAGAGATGAAATGAGGCAGATAGGTTCTCTGACTGGATTTACACAAAAACGTGTTAGGGATTGTTGTTCTTTTTGCATGTATATGGTTCATGGTTGTAAAAAGAAAGAAAGCTAAGTTGTTCTTGTAGGTATTCTTTGTGAATATACATCGGGGATTGTCACACTGCGCTTTTTAGCGTTTGGGGCAGATATAGTTGTTGTATTTCGCTAAATAGGAAAGGAAGTTATTTATACACATGGGTTGAAATTTCTTTTATAATTTATGGTTTTCCCTAAAATGTTTAATTTTTATGATGATGTGCTCAGGTTGGCTGGCTTTGGTGCTGGTGATTATACAGTACACGTTCATCATTTGCAGCTCTAGAGTCTGATGTATTAACACTCATCTACCAAGTTGTCTTAAATAATACCTTGAAAATAAAGGTTTGTTATATTATACATCCTAAAATTCTTAATTTTATGTTAGGCCACCAAATCCTCATATTTCTAAATAGAGCCTCCAAATCTTTTAATTCCGAGAGTTTAATCATACTATAGCAACATTACTGATCGTGCGTATCCAATCATGAGGTCGTAGTTTAAAAAATTAATAGATTTCGGATCTAATTTGGAAATGCGAAGATATAAGGGTCTAATATACAATCAAGAAAATAATTGTGGTCCAATGCGATTAAAAAGCCTCTAAATTTTATACTCTAAAACAATTGCAGCTCGCATTTCTGAGAGAAATTTTTATGAGACTGGTTTAAGCATGTTTGAGTGCAGTAAATCTGAATAAAAGAGAGAAATGGAGGTTCTTGATAATTTTTGTATATTATACTTATGTTATAAAGATAATGCGAGAATTAACTTGGCTGTCTTTTAGAAAAGGACAAATTTTGAAAATTATCCTATTTACAAAAAAAATCGCAAATTTCGACCAATTCAAAAAAAAATTGTCAAAACCGACCCAGTTCAGGCTGAAACTGGGTCGGTTTTGACGAAAAAAAGTCTGAAACTTCACGGGACTTCAAGTCCCGTGAAGTTTAGCAGCCTATAATGACTTAATTAATGGCGACAATTCTTTCACGGGACTTCAAGCCCCGTGAAATTTTTTAGTTGAAAAAAACTTCACGGGACTTGAAGTCCAAGTCCCATGAAGTTTGAGCTGAATTTCCACCCTCTTATGAGCTTTGATAGGCCATATGAATCACGTGATTATCTTCCCCTTTTTAACATCGCTAGTTTTTATGCACGTGCATTGCATGTGGTTAAATATCATAATTATTTATTTTTAGTTTATTTCCTTACTAAAATTTGTTCTTTGATTTTAAATTGATAGTTTTTGCTCACTTACGTCTCTAAAATTTAATATTATAATTATTTATCTTATTTAATGTTTATTTGAATGAGCTACACCTAATTTTAAGTTTCATGTTGATAATTAAAATGATACGAAACCAACGTGAAGTCCATTTGAATATTCATGTTATTTGGATCGACATGAAACGAAGATTTACCTAAGTATAGTGTTGTAAAAGTAAAAAATACTTATAAAATAGCATTATAATAGCAAGAGGAATAATTAAAGTCAATAAGCCTAGACAATTGATTAAAATTGGCTAGAATGACACAAAAGAGAATATGAATTTTATTCCTAATCATTGATAGACTTTATTGAAAATTATAAACTAAATATTAATGCTAACTCTAGTATAGTTTTATATGATAAAAGCGTCGACAAAATAAGCATATAAAAAATATTTAAAAATTCATAAAATATCTTCCAAATATTCCTAATTTTACTCAAAGATTTAGGCTATTCTATAAAATATTAAGAAAATATTGTCTTTTATTCTTTTTGTTTTATTTTTCATTGAGCCGAGATCAAGTCTTCTTCACTTTTATCTTTTTCTAGGGTAATTCTGGGGTGGCGTCTTCATCATCTATGTCAATTGTAACATCAGGCTGGATCTGGATTTATTGTACTGTTATCTTTCCTTGGACACATTCATTTTTTATCTTCTCATCTAACTTTACAAGTAATTTGAATGAGAACAAATATTAATGAGATCAAATGTTAATTTCATATATATGATAACTTTTCTGTGTTTCTAATTCATTACTTAAGTTAAGTAAGGATTAACCTATTTTTTCTTTGCAATGAATTTTTGTGTTGTGCACACAATAAGAGTTTCTATTGTGTCAAGCAATGTTACTTTTGCAATGTCCTAAGTCATCAGAGATTTTATAGTATTTATCATTTGGACACTCGTTATTAACATCCATATCCACCTCCTTGTTACGGCCTTTGCAAGCGTAAAGCCTCAGCTTAATTAAGTCTATTATAACTAGCAAATAGCTTTGCCTTTAAGGTGCAATAGCGTATCTGTATATTGATAAATTTTAATTAGGTTTAATTGTATGAATTATAGAGTAAGTTTTTTAAGATCATACCTCTTTTGAATGTTGTGATGTCTGCGTAATATCACTAAGTTAAGTTTTTGTTGTATTTGTAAAGTGTTAGGAATCTTGACCCCAAGATTAGTTTATTTTGATGATAACAAATATTATATATTGTGTGTATTATGTGTTAACATTTGTTTTGCAGTATCAGAGCTATATCAACAATTATTTTCAAAGAGATACTCAAGACATAGATGAGTTCAAGGCAAAATGAAGCAAAGAAGAAAATATACTTTATTGTCAAAATGTAATTTTATATTTTTTTGCTTAGAAATTTGTACAAGCCTTGATCACTCACACACATGCACACACATAGTGTTAGAATACACTAACACATGCTTAGTGTGTTGGTTAACAATAGAAATCCCCTATGTTAATCATTAGGGTTTATAAATATTAGGTGAGTCTTAAAACATTTTATTTACACCCCTTAGAAATTAGAATCTGGAAAAACTCAAAAGATCAAAGTTGTAGGTCTCTTCAAGAGCTTTCCAACGAATCTTAAATCACCTCATTCCGATATCGGATGAGAAAGTTACAATCAAAATACTAAACAGAAAAATTCCAGAATCTGAGTTTACAGTGTAGTCGACTACTATGCCTTATAGTCGACTACTGAGCAGTTTTCTGACTTCAGAGTCTGTTTAGACTCAGTGTAGTCGACTACTATGACTTGTAGTCGACTACAGATGTAGTTTTTTCATATTTCAGGTTTTAAATAAGTAACTGTTTATAGCCGTTTTGTGGACGTTAATTGGGTTTAAAATTATGTCATTTTAGAGGCTATAAATAGGTCGTTAATTGGGTTTAAAATTATGTCATTTTAGAGGCTATAAATAGGTTTAAACATCAGAAAACAACAACTAAGTTTTGCACTTGCAAGATCAAACATTTTTAAGTTTTGCACTTGCAAGATCAAACATTTTGTGCATATTCACTCTCTAATTTTCCAGATTTTCATGCTTAGTGTTTAGAAAAAGAGAGTTTCTGATATTACCTTGGTTTCAATCATTTTTAGAGATTGTATAGGCAATATTCAGAGAGTTAAAAGAATCCTAAGCTACTGCAGCACTTCACTACACATTCAAGGCTTATAGGATCAATTGTGTTCTTTCTTCAAAAAGGATTTCTCTCGGGTTTGAGAGGGTTGATCTCTTGGTTTAGAGATTGGGTGGCAATTGGCATGGTCTTGTCAATTGGTGTTGCAATTTGCATGGTCTTACAAATTGATCAGGATTGGTTTTGATTTTGTAAGGTTTCAAAATCATAGTGGAAATCTCAAGCGGGATTTGCTTGGGGACTGGATGTACACCGGGGAGGTGGAACCAGTATACATGCTTGTGTTTGTGATGTTTATTTTCTGAGATTGCCATTCTTTCTTTGCAATTTATAATATACTTTGCAAACTCACCCTCTAGTGTTTAAGTGTAAAGCTTCCACAGATTTTTATAAGAGCGCACTCTATTCTTAAGGGTCACGATCCTACATTTGGTATACATAAGCAAAACAGGACCCTACATAAAGAGCCTTGATTGAGATTCTTGTCTTGATAGCTTATTCTGAATAAGCCCTACATATTTACTTAAAAATGTAATATTTATTATTTATTGTGTTATATGGCTGTTTGCTTGGTTTACTTACCATTCTCTTATTTATGTAGTTAGTTGAATCTTTGGGTGTGTGTACACACACACACACACACACACACACACACACACACACACATAGACGCAAATTTGCGATGATATGCATATCTCCCCAGCAAATTTGAAATGGATATAGGGTGAACTTTATGTTTAGTAGCCTTTAATAAGAATTTTGTAATGAAATATATTGCATGTGTATCTTAATCTATGATAAGTAAGCATCATGTGTACATATTTTGTCCACTATAGTGATTTCCACATTTTATCTGGCTTATTAAGTAAGTATTATGTGGATACCTTTTGTCAATTATAGTGATTTTTCTCCTCTTGTGTGGTTTGTTATATCTCGTAATATAGTTAATCAATAGCTTCATGTTAGTTGCTATTGCAAGATCATCTGTATCTAATTATATAATAAGTTTATGATTCCTTTAGTATTTGAAGAATAAAATATGATATTTTATAAGACTTACTAATATTTCTTGTATCTTCTATGAAAAATGCTTCTTTAATTGGAAAAAAAAATGTTTAATATGTTCTCCAATGGGAAATTAGTTGGTGAATGGGAAATTAGTTGGTGCTTCTTTCATAGATATGTCTCTTGTTAATATTAATTAATTCAAGTGATTCATGTAAGTTTATGAATTTTGCGTTAATTTTCTTCACTTTTCCATTTAAAATGAAAACAGCTAGATCCTTTTGATAGATATCTCTGAATTTTTAAATAGTTTCTCCATACATAACTCATTGTATTTTTTTACCCTGTGAATATTATTAAAATCAGAGAATATTTTTTTTCCTGTGAATATTACTAACATTAGAGAATAATGTTTATAAAATATAATCAATTAATACTAAGCTTTTATATTATAGTTTTTTTTACCAATTTTAAGTGATTTTAGTCTTCTATCAATTAATGCTACCTCTGTATTTTTGATTCTTCAACTTATGAGTAAAATTATATGCAATTACTTTCATTTAGACAACGATATTAAGTTTTAATCTATCAATATATTTTTCAAATTTCATGGTTTTTTATAATTTTAAACTTTTGAGTGTGTTTCTACAATTTGTGAAACTTCAACGGTGTTAATTGTAAAATTTAAATTTTAGGGGGCTACTACTAATTTTTAGATTTTA